ATGATAAACCTTTTTTAAAACTAATATAAATCTTCAACATTTTAAAAAGCGCCTATGGTGAGCCTATGTCAAAAAAAAAAAAAAAAGCTTTTGTGAGACATAGTGTAGTGCCAAGAATGTCATACAATGAGAGGCGGTAACACCCAAGCAAGACAGGGGAAATAAATGTTTGCCAAAGGTAAGGTCAGGTATGAATAAAATACACCAACTCCATTATGTCAGCCCCTGCCACTATTCATAACTAATCTCAGAACATAAACTGCATTGCACAAACTTTTTATTTAGGATCCTCTTATTCAAATATTACAAGTGGATAGGATCAGAGGGAGACATTCCTCCAAACAAGAGGTTTAAATAATAAACATTAAATACATCTATATAAATATATAAGTATTGTTCCAAAATTATTTATATTATATAGAGCATTTATTAAAAATATCCATGGCAAAATAAGCACTAGTTTAAAGTTAGTGTGAAAAGTTTAACTGTGAGACTTGTGTAGCTTTTTGTGGGTTGGGGGGGGGGGGAACCAGTGGCCCATTTAGTAAATATCTTAAAATGTTCCAGCTTGGCAATCCTCAATAGAAATTGGTCATGCATGCTTGTTACTCTATTAAGCCTTGGGTCGATCAGCTATAAAAGGACTCATTCATCATATTAATTTATTTCAGCTGAGTGCTGCCTTTTTAAATTCCTGTAAGAATACTTCAATAATGTGTTAAAACTTGAGGGTGAACCAACTAAGACCAACATTTCTCTAAGGCGGGGTGAAATTGAACTATAGCAAGAATAACATTTCTTGAAGTAGAGGAAAAGGGATATTTCTTAAAATCATGTACAAGCAATAGCAGTAAATTTTAAATTCTGCTACTTTTTAAATAGTGTACAAAAAATAAGATAAAGAAATATATAAAAAATCACTAACTTATAAATTAATTTGTTTCAACTTTCCTAACTAATTTTTATGAATGAGGCCACCCATATAGTTTGTCACACTCTGGAAAAGGGGGAGGGGTATTTAAGTAAGTGTGATAATTTGTGACATGGAAAAAAAAAAAGGGGGGGGGGAGGTTTAAAAGAACATGTAGGAATGACATCAAACATATATTTTTATCATACAAATAACAAGAACGGAATGGAGGGGTATTTAAGTAAGTGTGATAATTTGTGACATGGAAAAAAAAAGGGGGGGGGGAGGTTTAAAAGATCATGTGGGATTGACATCACACATATATTTTTATCATACAAATAACACTTGAAATTTACATTAATGTTAAACTTTCTGTTTCGATAGATGTATTCTGAAATAATATTTCACTTTTATTCACCCATTTAATAGTTAAATAACAAGTGTGTTTTAGATTAAATTTTAATTACATTTTAATAGATTAAATTTTAATTAAATTTTTATAGATTAAATTTTAATTAGATTTTAATTTTTTTTTTAAATTTTAGTTCAAAATTGTGGCTTACTAAATTTGAAATGATATGTAAGGATCAAAACATATTAACAGCATCTTGGGGGGAGAAGGTATTACAATTACAGGTTCTCAGGATTAAATTTCTCCTATCAGCCAACTGGATGACATGATAATGAAGCACAGCAGTGTTTCAAATCAATCCCAGAAATTCCAAACACAAATACCATCCCCAAGCCTTTAGGTATAAACAGAATAACTTTGGATGCAAACAGAATAACTTTGGATGCAAACCAAAGCATACTGAATTCAGATGTACTTATCCTGGTGAAAAACATGATAAAGTGCAAAATGCTGTTATAATACATAATATTAATATATTATAAAGAATGATAAATAATACTTTTTTAAAATCCCCAATATAAAGATTAAACATGGAATAGGCTGGGGTTTCAGGCAGAAGTAATGCAATATTTTATTTATGTTACCAAAAATCAGTTTTTTAAATATTGATGTAAAAGCAAATACAATTTTCAATTTCAAACACATTTTTAATCAACTAAACACTCCCTGACTGATTCAAAAAGATGCTTTTCCAGGTTAAACATTAGAACTGAAGTAAAATATTGCCAAAATATTTTGTATAGCTTCATGCTCCATTGTATCAATGTAGTACATTATATTCCACCATAAATGATAAACTGTTTCAAACAATAAAATTTTGATACAATCCTGAAATTCAATGATTACAGTCATTTTGCCTAGCATGTGCTATTTCAGTATATCATGAGCATCCCATTGCACCCTAAGTGAGTTATAGGTATAAAAGCAAACTCTTAATTTAGCTCAGAATTTTGCTGATCTACTGTAACTGTGTGTACCCCAATGATTTTCCCAACACTTTATGTTCTAGGTAATTTTTTCTTAGCCTTTCCATGCTCTCTTGCCCTTGTACTTTAAATTTTCTATTAAACTGTTGGAAGCGATAAGTACTGAGTAGCTAAACTTTAAAAACTCTGAAAGTCTAGATAAGTAAGCCTCTCATTTGAGTTGAGCAGTTTAAAGACTCAACTTGGATTGTTAAATTATGAAATATTGTTAGGTTTGAATGATTTTAAATACTTTGGGTATCATTCATGCTGTAAGCAAGAAATATTTTATCTGACTTATTACTATAAAATGTGGGTTGCTAAAAGTAAGACAAAGAGCTAATATGAGAGCTGTGAAGAATATGGTCTGTTATCTGATAATACAACTAAAGACATAACCCTTGGACCTTGGTCAGTCCATGGATTCTGACACAGAGTACTAATTTTATTTAGTCTAATCCAATTGTTTTGACTTTGTGGGTCTAACTCAAATTGTGACAAACAATAGTCAATTCCGTCATATAAACTTTGATGGACAAATTAAAGAGTTCTAAAATTAAAAGAATTCAGCAGCCCACAGGACAGTTTCTAAATAAATGTAATGATTAATTAAGTCTGTAATCTAACACTTCAGATTTGGTTTTGAAAAATCTTGTTGTACCAGTTTGAAAAGCTATTTAAACAGTTATTCTTTTATTGCTGTGTGTTAATAGTACAGTTGAGAGGGAGACTGGGTTTTCAATGACATAGAGAGTGGGCACTGTTTTCTTGTTAAAGACCAACGAGCTATCGTGTTACAGGAATGCATAGAGAGAAATATCCTTCCAAGTTTATTTATTGTATCAGAAAGATGGGCGGCTTATGCAAACATAAACCGGATTAGAAACAGAATCTATAAACACTCCGTTGTTGTTCATCAACAAAATTTTTTCAATCCAAATGACACTGGTGGCCAAACACAGACTGTTGAAAATATGTTGATTACACACAGAACTCGCAAACTGAAAAGACGGTTTGGCACAATCCGCATTTTTTTCCCTTCAGTCTTCATATTCGCATGAGTTCATGTTTCGCAATTGTTTTCATGGAGATGATATAAACTCAAACTCTGTTTTCTTTAAATACATTAAATTTTTTAAATTTTGCTATTTGAACAATTATTAAACTGTTGAATTTTTTCTATTTTAAAAATGTCGTCTTTAATATATGTCCTGAAATGAATTTGTTCATTCAATGTCATAAAAAAATTTCCATTTATTTTGATCCATTATTTAAATATAGATAAAGATAGGTAGGATAGGCATAGCCTGCCTACAGCGCTTGTCTCCATCATCCATGCTATTCTAGCATACTCAAACTAAAATTAAACTTTTGCAAACAGTAAACACTAAACTCAGTAAAATAGTAAATAGGCCTAGGCCTAAGTTATAAGTAAGCAATTTAATTTAAGATGCCTGGTTAAACTGGAAGTTGTTTAGATTTAAGTCATTTAAGTTCATCAGAAATTAGTATTATGCCTACACATGTTTAATTTCTAACGATAAAAGCGAACCCTTACCAATCAATAAAGATATCCCATGAAATACACCAGTCTTCTCTTTTCAAAAGGTTGATATTTGTATTAGTTTATTATAAGTCCTAATAACTTGCACTTGTTACGGCAACCAAAAACCCAGTTACCGAAGTGGTTACTCTTTTTACCGAGATCCAAATTTATAACAGGATCAATCCGAGATAAATATTTATTTGATATTTGGAAAATGTTTGATTGAATAGTCTTTAAAATAGGGGAATCAACGATACTTTTTTGACAATGAAAAAGTGGTACTTTTACAGACAGTAAAAACAAAGCAATCCAAAAGCAGGGACTTATACCCACCCCCAATGAGTGGTGGAAGCGAAATGCCCCCTCTCCCCTAGACTTAGACCATGTTCAATTCTGACATTTAATTTATAAATGGTATTTAATTCATGAGTTCAGCCACTTTGAATATTATTAATACATTTACAAAAATGTACATTTTACAATTAATTACAATTTCACTAATAGCTCAATAATTCTTAACATCTAAACGCTAATCCAAACAAATCCAGATTTAAAAAAAAAAAAAAAAAAAAAATATATTTTAGTTGCTGTAGGCCTATAATTTTTTTGTTTAGATCTAGTTCTTAAAGTTCAGATTCAAAGGTGGCGTAATGGTTGTGTTAAAACAAAATGTGTTATTTAATATCTGGCATCGGGTGCAATTCCCGGCTAAGCCAATTTTTTAAGTGAGCATTTATATTTTTCCTTTCCGAGTTTCTTGTATTAATTTTAAGAAATGATCATTTATTATGTAATATATACAGCCAAGTTAGCCGTAAAACCGGTAATTGAAGCCAGAGTTGTATTCTACCTTGTCCTATCTAAAAAAGATAATAAAAAAAAAAAAAAAGAAAGATAGATAAATTATAGATTATTATTATTTACAAACAAAATGGATATCTATTTGACCTAACCTGTCAATGGTCAGGGGGGAAATTATGAATTTGTCTCTTATGGATCTGAACGGGTCTGATTTCTTTTGGAGAAATATCTTTTTTTTAAAAATAGAAAAATAGGTAACTTCAGGTCACTAATTGATAGCAGAATTCAATAAGTTCTTTCCGAACGAATGTATTTTTTACTAAGTAACGATTGGCCATTGTTACCGGAAGTAAATAATCTTGCAACAAACAAATATGGCGAATCGAAGTAATGACAACAATCAAGGGAATTTGCAGCAGCATAAATTTAGTGTTGAAGGATCATCGGAAAAACATATTAGAAAAAAAGAAATTCCATTAGGTATTTCTTATTTGTGCCTAGTTTTAATTGCATGCATTGTTCACTTTCTAAATATTGTTCACTGCTACAAAATATCGCTGCTATACTGAGGTTACACTAGACTCTAGATTTATTATTTTATTTTTATGCATAACATACTGAACTGAAATTGAATAGGCCTAAATACTGGACTACCACGCATACTTGCACTACACTCAATATCAGTACCTAAAATATAATACTGTAACTAAACTATAGTATCTCTAAACTACACCACTTGACATTTAATACTTAAATTAGTTTAGTATCGTTTAGGCTGGTGAGGGGTAGACCAAGTCCAAGAACCACCAATTGTGACTTGTTTGCATATTATTATTAGATTAGTATTAGGCAAGGCTGCGGCTATTCGGACCAGGGCTTCCGACCCTTGACAAAGAGTGAGAGGTTGAGTTTATTAAAAAAATTATTAAAATATTATTGTTGGGTTTTTGAAACAACATTTGGTATCAAATGATTGATAATTTAATGGACTATATGTTTGTAAACTTCTTCGGTTTAACTAAAATAAAATACCACAAATGACATACCAATAGCCATTTAGTCTGAAGGGACCCGGGTCCAAATAGTGAATTTCTCTAAAGAATTTGTAAAAAAAGTCAAATTTCGAAATTGACCTACATTGTTATTGTTATATAATATAATGGCTTTTATTGAGAGTGGTCTTCGTTGATAAAATATCTGGACTTTAAATAATATGTCCTTAATTGTTATGGTTTCAGCATTAAGCCTTGACTCAGTGCTCCATGCATAACTTAGATAGGAATACTCTATGTATCACTGGACCCCTCTTGGGAGCACAAGATAGGAATACTCTATGTATATATCACTGCACCCTTCTTGGGAGCACAAGAATTTCATTGACTCATGTTTACCAAGTTGTACTTGATTGTTACAGCTAACATAGTTCCCATCCACAAACAGCTAAGTGATGTTGCCCAGTTTTCCTATGCTGCACTTTGTGCCACCGCCCTACATTCATTATTTGATGCTGATTATGATGGGTAAATATCTTTCATTCTATTTTACTTACCCAACTTTATTCTTTAACAAATTATTTCAGTGTGTGTGTGTAACATAATCTTGACATGAATATGGAAAATCATTTCAATCTTAAGTCTATTATTTGTTATTTTTTTACAATTAATCAACAGTAAATTTCGTGAGGAGACATTTGCTCTTATCTTGATAGCCCTTGAGCAGCCTCAGCAGGTAAGCTATATTAAAACTATTTCTTTGAAATATGTTGAATTTGAATTGCCCTGTGGATTAAAATGTAGATTCTCCAAAGCATTATCATATCATCAATACGAATATTTTTTTCTTATTTTAATGAACATATGGATCTGAAGTGCATAGGTTTTTCGAATTAGGTTCTTTGTAGATAAATTCAAATAAGTAATCCATGACTCATGAAAAAAAAAGCACTTTCATCAAACTAAAATTAAATATTTAGTCTATTAATGTGCTTTATTTGGTTACGGTGCAAAACAGATCAGTAGGTTATGTCAATTGATGATATGTGTACAATAATTTCAAAGAAGGAGACACATGCACATTAATAATCAGGTAAAAATAGAAAACAGAGTGCATACATTTAAGTGTGTATTTGTGATAATCACTGAACAATTATGAAACAGAGGAAGGTATTATTGTGCTTGAACATTCTTCACACATTTTATTCACATTGGCATGTGCACATAGAATTCGTTATGAGCATCTAAACAAAATATATGAATATGAATAAAACTACTAACAATTTGTGTAAATTTAAATCAATTATTTATGTAGATAAGTTTTAGTCAGTACGTGAACTAAAGGTGTTTAATTTTTTTTTGCTAATTCAAGAATTAATCAACTTAAAAGACATCCCAGTCCAGCCCTTTTGTAACTGGTTGATATATGTATGTGTGTATTTTCATGTGCTTTTGTAGTGAAAAAATGATTTTGTCCTATACAAACCTTTTTGATTTTGACAGGATTTGCACTATTTCAATTTTTTATTTTAAAAGAAATTTTGATCTGTGCCCAGGTGAGTTCGCACATTTCCCAGGGGCATCACTATTTAAAGCTTTACTGTACCAACAGGAGTCATTGGTACAAAAAAAGTTTAAAGATCTCTACTTCAGAATTTCAAGCCAATTTATAATTGATAAAATAATATTGTGCATCCTTATTTTATGTACACTTTAACCAGGTTTGTGAGTCAGTGCGGGCGATGCTTCAAGGTCAAGGCCTTGATGATATGGATCCCTACATTGACATACTGCTCGCTGAGGAAGTTTTGAAGGAAGGAGCGGAGCCAATTGTATCTCAGTTACTAGCCATAGGCATTGGCCAAGGTAGAAACAAATAAGATATATTTTTAAAATTGAATTTTAAACCCTCTTACCCACCTACAGATTTCAATGATTTATATCACCAAGTGTATTTCATGGATTCAGCACACAATAGTAAAACAAACACATAGCTCTTGAAGTTTTTTTTAACTTTAAAATTAAATATTTATCCCTTTGGGTTTTAAAATAATGTAAAAGATCTATTTTTTTCAATGCTATTCTCAAATAAAAGTTAAATTGTCTATTTACCAGGGTGCTACGATGCAAGAATGCGAGTTTTAATAAAACATCTTGCCTGGCGTCTTAAAGTAGGATGGGATACAGTTGATGACCTTGAAACTGATATGTCAGAAACATTGGCTCTGTCCCAGTATGAGATGTCAGAGTAAGTTCTCAATGCTGTCTTTGACAAACATAATAGCCATTGGTAATTACTATAAAAGTGCCAAACATGCACCTCTGCTCTAAGGAGTAGCCATTGGTAGTAAAAATAATCATACAAAATACATGAAAGGGATTGACTATAATTATTGAAGATTATTTGTATACAATATATCTAATGATCAATACCAAAAAATAAACCTGCTAGAACTAGTTCATGGATATCAACATGAAATACTTTCATATTAGTTTCTACTTCTAGTTTTTACTATATATATATATATATATATATATANATATATATGTGTGTGTGTGTATAATATATATATATGTAAAATAAAACAGGTGTCTAACAGCAATACACTACATGATTTTTTTTAATCAATATAAATCAAACTTTAATCACAGGAATGTTATCTCCCTTTATTTCCAATGCAATCAGAAGGGAGAGGTACAATAATCCATTGTTCAGTGTTGTTGATGTCTTAATGTTTATTTCTTTCTCGTCACAAGACCTATAACAGTGTTTCTCAAAATGCCAATTTCTGTTATACCTGCTTACTTTGTTAAGCACTGGGACACAATAACATAATTTAAATCAATCTACATTAAAATTGATTTTTACTCCTTCGGCAAATGCTGATTTTGTAAAAAAAAATATGTGGCCAGTAAGTGGTTTTTGTAACTGGAAAGTTTCTGGTTGCCAATTTCTAAGTCTTGAGCTTGTTTCGGAAATCTTCAACGCAGACCTTCCCCAAACCCCAACCCAAAATTAAACCAATTAATGTAATTACCTTCATAAATATTGAGATGCCACAAATGAAGATGCACATTTCCTGTTTTGAAGCACTGCTGTGTTCTGCTGGCTATTGTTTTACTTTTAACAGTTTGATAGAGTAGAAAATATGTGTAATTTCAAGTTCATACATGCAAAATTTAACAAAAGTTCCTATCTTACCCTGTTGACATATTCTTTTTATTTTATTGTCATTTGATCCTATATAACTACAATATATGATAAGTTTTGCTAACCAAAAATTTTTTCTGGTAAAATTACAATGGTCAAATAAATTTTAACTCATTCTCTGCTTAGGTTAAAAACGTAATATATTTTAAAAATAATTTCGCAATGAAAAGTTATTTGATTTATATATTCCTGTAAAAAGTTGTCAGTAAATTGTAACAGTTTGGACATTCCCTTAATAATTTTTTATTTCTTTACAATTATGTCTTAAGCTTAAAACCAAATGATCATTTCTAAAAATATAGTGATTTCTTCTTAGCCTTGTAAACATATCATTTCCCTGTGTTCTGCTTTATCAAAAATTTATCAGTGCTGTAATTTACGATCTGTGTAAAACTTTTGGTTATCCAAAGTGGATTGGAAATTTAACCTCTATACCAGTGTTTCCCAACCTTGTCTGTACCCCGCACCCCCTACAAATTATTTGACTAGTCTCTTAACCCCTACAACTTGTTTAACCAAATTCGCACCGCCTACAAAAGTAACAGTGTATTTTCAAATTTGAAAATTGTGGACTTAAAATGTGTATATTGATTTGCAAAGAGAACTGCAGAATTTAGAAAATGAGCTTGTAACTTATTACATGGAGGCAAATGTTAATGAATAAATGTTTAAAATATATACAAATTTATAACATAACTTTAAAGCTAATGTATCCTCATCGGATTGTCTTTTTTCCGCGCACCCCCTGAAATGCTACTCCCACATCTTTAGGGTGCGAGCACCCCAGGTTGGAAAACTTATTGTCTTCTTATTACTTACCACCCCCATTGCATTAAAATAACTAAGACTACATTACATAGCTGTTTTAAGGTTATATTTTATACATTTTCAGTGAGGCTGATTTGCCAGATCATTTGTAAGTCTCAAATCACCTTAGTAAAACATTTTGCTTTTAATGGGTGAAGAGTCAAACAGTTATATCCGTAACCTGTTTTTTTTTTTTGGTTAGTTACAAAAGTTTTATCCGTAACCTGATTTTTTTTTGTTAGTTTTTTTTTTAAGTTACCTGAAAGCCCCCTTTATCTTCCTTATTTTTCAGTGAGGCTGATTTGCCAGATCATTTGTAAGTCTCAAATCACCTTAGTAAAATATTTTGTTTTTAATGGGTGAAGAGTCAAACAGTTATATCCGTAACCTGTTTTTTTTTTTGGTTAGTTACAAAAGTTATATCCGTAACCTGATTTTTTTTTGTTAGTTTTTTTTCTAAGGTACCCGAAAGCCACCTTGAGCTTCCTTAACTTGCACTGGAAACTTTAAGTTCCTTGTTCTCGTAATGGGTTCACCAATATCTTTTTCTTGTATTTTTGTAGTTATCCACATTAAATATATTTTTTATGAGCTTTGACTTAGTAAACTTTCATTCATTTAGTAATCAGATTATGCTGTTGTAACATTTTTTTTAAAGATTTGTAATTAACATTTGTAAAAAGCATATATAGGATATTTAATGTATAAAAGAAAAACATTATAATGTGAGCCTATCCAAAATATATTTAACTCTTATTAAGTCTTATATTTAATATGCATGTTTGGTGCATAATGATACACATTTAAAAAAAAATGATATCAATTTATAGTTAGGATTTTTTTTGTTGAAAGTTCTGTTTTTTTTAAAGTTTTCTTTGTTTTTGTTTACATGAAAGCAATTATTATACATCATGCAGTAAACTTCAACTTACAGCAGATATCTGGGCATTAATTCTTCAACTTACAGCAGATATTTGGGCTTTAATTCAACTTACAGCAGATATCTGGGCATTAATTTTTCTAATAATCTTAACAGCAATCTCAGTTTTATTTGATGTCTTTTCCAGAGAGGAGAAATTAGAAAAACTAAAGAAAGAAAAAAAGAGGAAGTTTAAACGCTACGCTCTGATTGGCTTAGCAACTTTGGGTGGTGGAACTTTGATAGGTGAGTCAAATCAAGTCAGTTACCAATCAAAGGCACAATAAAAAGTTAAAAAAACTGGATTACAAATTAATTAACGAGAGCCTAAATTTCAAAGGAAATGATTTCTTTATTTGCTCTATTTATTTAATTCAGTGGCAGCCAAAATTTCTAATTTTTCAAAGTTCTAGTAATGTTCCAATGATATTTTTTCTTTAAAAAAATTAAAAAATTATTTTCATTATTTAAAAATCTTGTGGCTGATGTTTTAAAACATTTAAAATTTCACTAGGGCTGACAGGTGGATTAGCAGCACCCTTTGTAGCAGCAGGTGCAGGGGCAATTATTGGTGGGGCAGGTGCTGCTGTGCTGGGATCAACAGCCGGTGTGGCCATCATAGGTTCCCTGTTTGGTGTTGCAGGAGCTGGTTTGACAGGTACAAGCCCTGGGCCGATATAAATGTTATATATTTAAGCATAAATATATATATATATTTTTTTGCACATAAAAATTATTTTTGGCAAAAAAATATAAAAATTTTAAAAATTAACCCATTCCCGGTGGCAGTGCTACTTCTGTACTTAATTTATATTCTTCATGAAGGGAATTAACCCCGTCTAACAATTAATTTACACTTTAAAAAATGTTAAGCTGCTAAATATCAATTAATATCAATGAATTAAAGATAAATGCATCCAGAAATGAATTAGGTTTAATTAAAAAATATAACATAAACGGCTAACAAATAACAAAAAGCAATGACCAAAATATCTTTTTTGGCACACATACTAGATATGGATGCACTGCATTAAATCACACAGAGATTTAACGTGAAACAAATTAAAAAATTCCGATGTTTCAATTGAAATCACGCAAAATTGTGGGAAGTCTCAGGGGACACAAGATTTCGTTGCTGTTTTTAAATTTAAAAAATAGGGGTATGTAGCATTGTGTCTCCTAAGCTCCAGCTGTATTTTGATTAAGGTGAGGGCGAGTTGCTCAAATCCTTATTCTCTCATCCTGGGCTATTTGATCCAATGGCAAGTCTTGGTCAAGACAACTGGAAATAGGTCAGGATGCAGTAGATGACCAGCAGCCTATGTGTGTTTATCACTGTGCTCTTTATGCGTGTTCCACATCACAGGAGTTGGCGGAATTTTCATTGTTTGAATGTCATACTCCCTACGGGACTCCAACTCCAGGGTTTCAAGTTCAGAGTTTGCCTTCCCTCAGATTAGCTGCCATCCAAAGTTAATGAGGCCTCTCCACCCGGCTGGTGTACATGTTGTTTTTTTCTTGTCTAGGAGGATTGACTCCGTTTATACCACTCTGCCCCCCAGCACCAAATGAATTAATAAGTCACTGAAACTGTGTTGTTGTTTTTTGTTATTGCCATGAACACACTTATTGTATTCTGGTTTTTCTTAAAAATAAAATCAATTAGCACGTTATGATTTCTACTTTTTAAATAAATCCGACTTGGTCAGGTTACAAAATGAAAAAACGGGTCGGTGCCATTGAAGAATTTGAGTTTGAGCCTCTGGTGTGCGGCAACAGCTTAAGAGTCGAGACACTGTCCAATCAACTTCACATCACGATAGCAGTAACAGGATGGTTGACCAACGAGTTCAGAGGTTAGTTAAATCAGGGCAGTAAGTTTTTAGATTAAAATTATTTGAGTAATATATTAGCTAAATAAATAGTCTTTTCCTTTAAGTATGTTTATATATTTGAAAAAATATTGTTTCATAACCTATTTTATGTGCTGCATCCCCTATAACAAGTATTACTTATTCTCACACCCTGATGTAATAGTTTGATTTTGTCTTTCACCCCCTACTAATACTTTGCCCAAGTCTTGCACTCTCTCCAAAGGTGAAATTGGAGACAATTTTTGATAATGAGGTACAAAGAAAAGCTTAGAATTTAGAAAAGAAAATTGTTGCTTCAGTAAAAAAAGAATGATGCAGAAGTAAACAAATATTTAAAAATTTGTATAATAACTTAAAAATCAATGGCTTCTTTGTTCTTATACTCACTTCTCCTTGCACCCCCAAGCGAGGGAAATGAGCACTCTAGGTCCCAGCAGTGTTTCTTGTGTTTCACTGTGCTCTTTACCCATAGCACTTCACAGGAGTTGCCCGAATTTTAACTTTGTCGATGTCACACCACCTGCTGGACTTCTTCTCCCGGAGGTTTGAATTCAGAGCTTGTCTTCTCCTAGATGGCTCACCAACCAAGATTAACGAGTCCGTCCCGTCCACCTGGGGTTCTGCTGTGTTTTGCTTTTCTAGGTTTTTGCTGGGGGCTGAACTCCAATCCAAAAATTTGGGATTAACATATTTTGACCGCACAACCACCCAGCTGCCAGTGTCCTTCTTATCTCCCATGAAGAAGGGCCAGTAACCATAACTGTTATCTAATAACTGTTTTTTTAAAGAGAACAAATACTTTGATGGAGCCATGAAAGCCTGTTGTCATAATTTAACTCTTTCCATGCCAGGGGGTTTTCCACGTTCGTGCCAGACCAGTATTCGGGTATGGGAATTTTTTAGGGTGCTCCTATCTATTAATTAATTTTGAATACATTTCTTTTAGCAAGATAGCTGTATTTCATATCAAATTAAAGGAAATTAGACAGAGAATAATAATATGTAAAATATAAAACAATATAACAACAATAAGTTAAATTTTTTAGGTAAAATTGTGAGATCAAATTTTTTATATTTTTAAAATTGCACACAAAATCTGAACTTATCAGACTACCATATGGTCTGTGTTGCTGATATAATATTCTGCTTCAATCCCCAAAAAGTATATCCATTTTTGATCATAATGCATTTTACATTTTGAAAATATTCCATTTTGTTACGGAGTTATAGCCATTTTTGTAACATTAGGAGTATTCTTATCTGAATCCTCACTGTTGCCATAGTAACAAAGTGGTTTTGAAAAAAATTCATAACTTTTGAACTACTTGAGCTAGAAAGTTGATCTGGGTGTTTTTTAATCCATTCTCTAGGCTCTATCCATTCGTGGTATTTTTATATTTAAAAAAATGTTTTGAAATTTTTATGAAATTGCCGACAGTACCACTATTACTAGTATTACTATCAGTACTATCACCATTCTATTACTATTTCCATTTACCGACCCATCAGAATGCTGAAAATCCTCATTGGAATCAGATTCAAATGATTCATGGTTATTGTCTGTTGTTTCAGCATCAATAATTAGCAATAAAAGTTCTTTTATTTGCAAAATTGACTACCTACGTGGTCTAGCAACAGCTGACATGCTTGGAGTGGGCGTAGCCATGGCTTTGTTTACAAAATTTTCAACAAAAATCGAAATATTATTAGAAAAACACACGCAAACAAGCCCTACTTGAAACAGAAAGGAAGTTGTAAGAGTTATCCTTCGTTTAAAAACAAAAATGTCGGATTATGAGCCACAGGAAACGAAATAAACTACATTAATGCTATCGACAGTATACTGTGGGTTGGCACGAACGTGACCACTCAAATCGACAGTATGCTGTCGATTGGCACGGAAAGAGTTAAAGTGACATTTGGTAAAACTGAAGATTCTTATCTGTTTTATAAGATTTCCTGTTTCTTCCCCAGATTTCAAACAACCCTGGAAGAACCTGGCAGAGTCAAGGGAACAGTACACCCTAAGATGGGAGACCAAATACTTGGTGCAGATGGGTGAGGCCATGGATTACATCTTTAACTCTGCAATGACAATGGCAGCTCAGGAAGCCCTTAAATACACTGTACTTAATGGTAAGTGCTAGGAGGCCCTTAAATACACTGTACTTAATGGTAAGTGCTAGGACGCCCTTAAGTTGACTGTACTCAATGGTAAGTTCTACGAAGCCCTTAAATTGACTGTGTTAAATATAATTGCTAGGAAGCTTTTTAAATTGACTGTACTAAATGATAAGTGCTAGGAAGCTTTTAAATTGACTGTACTAAATGATAAGTGCTAGGAAGCTTTTAAATTGACTGTACTAAATGATAATTGCTAGGAAGCTTTTAAATTGACTGTACTAAATAATAAGTGCTAGGAATCCCTTAAATTGACTGTACTAAATGATAAGTACTAGGAAGCCCTTAAATTGACTGTACTCAATAATTTCTAGGAAGATCCCAAAATTGATTGTACTAAATAAATAACAGCATATTTCAATTTATAGACATTTTACTCTGGAGCATCTTCCTTTTAAATGGGGGAAATAAAATGTCACCAAACTGACAAATTTTCTTACATTATTGTAGCCAAATAGAGTTAAATCTACAGTTATGTTAATTTTTAGCCCATATCTATTCTATGTTAATATTGCTAAGTATTTTTAACATAAGTTTAGCATAAAATATGTTAATGAAAAACTCCCATCTGCACTTAATTTTTTATGTTGTATCTGAATTTCCATCAATATTTCTGAAAATAACTGTCTTATTTACAAGGCATGCAAGTGATGTCTCCTATATTTATGTTTAAGGACTACTGGCAGCTATAGCCTGGCCGAGCGCTTTGATATCTGCGGCCAACTTTATAGACAACCCTTGGTCAGTTGCGCTGCAACGGGCTCAGAATGCTGGCAGAGAGTTAGCTGAAGTCTTATTGGCCAGACAGCAGGTATTCATTAAGTTATAGAATGTCCAGAAAATATCCAATGGCCGGATCTATCAATCTGAGGATTCTATTAAAAGGGACAGCAATTCTGTAGAATTTGATTCTTTGTTGACATTGACTTAACCATGTGAATATTAAAATTATGGGTTGGCCCTAATGAAGGGGAAAGTGATCAATTACTTTAAAAGGTCTTGTAACTAGAATGTGTCTTTGAAGAGACATTAAAAAAAAAAAAGACTTGGATTGCATAGATGCATTAAAAAATTTGTCACCATCAATTTTTTCTATGCATTCATTTCATTGTTTAAACCTTTTTTTCTTTGTAGAAAGCTTAACAATGTATGACTTTTTAGAAAATGTAAAAAAAATAAAAAAATTCTTGTTTAATTTTTATTGATCTTAGGGCAACAGGCCAGTAACTCTGATTGGTTTCAGTCTTGGTGCCAGAGTTATATTCTCTTGCCTTGAAGAACTTTCAAAGAGGAAAGGTAAGAATGGATATTTATAAAATAAATAGCTATTCATAGCCCAATTACACAACAATTATTTATAGTCCAATTACACATAGAGCACAAACCAGAATACCACTTACTGAAGCTGATTAGCTTTGTTAAGTTGTAGGGGGAAAAAATTTTTTGTAAAGAAAACAAAAAGGGATCCCCAGAAAAGCATAAAAATAATTAGGACAATGGTCATAGAATGGTATTATTGTCACATCTACAATCACTCACAATCACAATCTAGTTATGAGCTATAATAACAGTGGCGTTGTGGATCCAAGTGAATAGTGACTATACTTTATTAAAGTTTATTACATGCTAAAACACACAATCACAATAATGATAATAGTTAATACTTAAACTGATCCAAAAACACTTAGAATATTGCTTCTCGGTAACTTCTCCACTTGATAAAAATATCACTATACTATGACCCAATCTTACAACAAAATATGGACTTAATAACCGCCATCATTTCGTCTCCACCTTCGTTCTTCTATGATTGGTTAGTTTTTACCAAGTGCCCATACTCTATATATTACAAGTGATAATTCTCACATTACTTAACTCCCTTGTAAATCATTATCTCGTATCTGTGACACTTATACAAACTTATTTATGCTCCTGGGTATTTTATTCTACCTCTTCCCCTTATTGAATTCTAGCACAGAATCCTACGGCTGAAAGTTCAGGGAACTGGGCTAATGTTTCACCGTCTCCACTATTAACTGCATGCAAAAACAAATCAATTAATTGCCATGTAGACCTCAGCACACTAAGGGTCGCCTACCCCTGATCTAGCAGATACCTGATCTTGCAGATACCTGAACTAGCAGAAACTTACCTGATCTAGCAGATAATTACCTGATCTAGCAGATACTTACCTAATCTGGCATATACCTGTGTCAGTTATTTATTGAAGAAGCAATTGTTCCCGTTCATCTTTTCAGCCAGTGAAGGTATCATAGAAGATGTCATATTACTTGGCACCCCTTCCACTGGCGATCCCAAAGTCTGGTCAAGTTTTGCCAAAGTGGTAGCTGGTAAAATTGTCAATGGCTATTGCAGGCAAGTAAACTAATGAAATTTGTGTTTTCTTCTTGACAATGCCATCAGTTTGTTGTTCAATTTGAAACATGTGAGTGAATTGGTTTTAAAAGGTGATCAGCAGTGTCAAGATTCTCTGATACGGGTAGAGATTGATTTAATTGCTGTATTGAAATTCCTAAGTTAAGCTTGCGCCTCCTCTTTGAGTGCTGTTTAAATTAAATGAATATGAACGAATAGGGAAGTCTTTATCCTTTGCTTTTCTCTTGTAAATACAGAGGTGATTGGCTGCTGAAATTTTTATATAGAACTTCATCCGTGCAAGTGAGCATAGCAGGCCTTCGTCCAATCAAATGGGCAGACAGACGTATGCATAATATTGATCTCAGTGATGTGGTAAGTAGGTCATTCTAATATTAATTTTTAAAAAGATAACTGATAATATTTTCACTTTTCAGAATATACTTTTAGAGTTGACAACATCAATTACACAGATATTAAAGATTTGGAAAAGATTTGTCCTCTGTAATTTAAAGTTAGTGAAGTACAAAGTGTTTTTTGAAATAAGAGATTAATTTATGTGAAAATGTAGTAGATGTTTTGGGACCCTTTGGGCATGCAGAATAAGAATGGAACTCCTATCTTTAAAAAATAATTATTATTCAAATTTCCAAAACAAATGGGTGATTTTTGCAACTTTTCATGTCATGAATTTTTAGAATTTAAATTAAATTTCTTTGAGTTCTGGAATTAAGTTGTTATTTTTGAATTTCATAACAAGGTTCAAGGTCATATGGATTACAAGCAACAAGTTGACACAATCATGAAGGCAGTTGGGATTCAAACCAGAGATGATCTGTTGCAATCGTCACGTGCCTCCTCCAAGGTGGCCTCGCCTGCTTTGTCCCCTGACCAACCGACTAAGACAGGGTTGGATGACCTTTCAAGTTCAGATGAAGAAGTGCATGAAAACAATTGGGTTGTGGTTCCTGATGTGCCAGCCGTCCCGGTTATACTTGAAGACTACAGCCCCAAGGGGGAAGGGAAACGGTTGAGCTTTAGCGGCCATGACCAAACCTACTCGCGGGACGACACCATACCTGAATCTGCCAGCTTTGATTCTGGGGTTGTTATAAACAGACTTGAGTCTGAATCAAGGGAGATACTTTCAGGTATAGACACCATGGGAAATAGAGAACATTCAGGAGAAACCATGTTGAAAGATCATAGATCAGAGAAGAGCTCTCTGGGAGGGGACGTGGTTCAAGGGAAACAAGATTCAGAAGCAGACGGAGCCGATCAAGTGGCAGGGCATTCACCTAAACCGGGAGACAGAATCGGTGACGCAGGTGCTAATGGGGACTCGGAGGAAGAAAATTCAGACGAAGACGACAGGTACAGTCGAGATGACCCCGACAAGTTGAAAGTGGAGGATGAGGCCAGCACCCTGCAGAGGAAGAAGTTGTTTGACAGCATGTACAGGCTCGTGCTGGACGACGACCTCATGGATGTGATGAACGAGGACGAAGATGATTTGGTGGCCTCAGAAAACAGCTGATTCATCAAAGATATCCGTAAAAGCGGTTAAATGTGTTTTCTAGTTTAAAGTTTTAAAGAATTGCTGATGGAGATTTTTTTGTCAGTTAATCGGTAACTCTTGTTCTTTACTATGCATCGATCATACATTCAGTTTATTTAATTAAGTCATTATTAGGTTGTTTTAAAAAAGAATAAAATGAATAATATTGTTGGATTTTAGCTACTGGTTGGCCTATCAGTAGCTATCCAATTCACATTCCTCCCCTGTACTGTAATGGGTGTGGCATTCTGACGAAGCATAGCAAGCATTTTCCACATTTGAATAAGCACTTGATAATATTAAACCATTTAACATCCAGATGTCCTGCAGTGTGATGATTGGTAAAATTATTGCCTGTCATTCCAACACCCCCCCCCATCGTATAGTTTTTCAGATATTCAATGTTCTGCTTCAAAGTAAGCTGAAAATTATAATGAAATATAAATTCACTTTTTTTATTCATCTGATATTTTGAAGAAAATATTTTTAAAAATCGCTGCTGTGATTGGTAGACAGAAGATCATGTAGGAAGATATCGGGATGAAATATTTGATAAAATAAACATCACATGGTGCATCATTTTATTAAATGATGGTTCATCATAAAGTGAACTAAATGTAGTCAGTAGCTTTGCTTCGAAGACATAACTAGCAGTTCAGTGACATTTTCATTACCATTACATGCCTGAGTTATGCCAATAATCGTGAAAACTAAACTGCACCTTAAGCAAGTATATTTTATTACTGCAAATTTCTGTGGCAACACGAGCCAAATAGAATGTGTTTTCTTCCTTCTCTCTTCTTGTCACTCAAATTTTATCAGTGTTTCATCTTACATATCAGATTTTAAAAAATGTTATCATGTTCTTGGTAAGATTTCATTTAGTATGTCGTTTCTCTAAGTTAGTTAAAGGTACAGTACTCTTAACTTCCAGTTTACCGATTTCGTAACCTATAAATTTGTTTAGAATATTCTTAGTAAACATATCAAACCACAGAAATAAATTGATAATTTCAAACTTTGTTAGAATCAATTGAGCAGCCACATTCCTAAGTTATAAAAGAGAAGTTCTGTGATATTTAAACTTATGACATCGGCCCTGCCCTTTTAATTGTGTTTTACTTATCCCAAATTACAAATTAAAAAATGTTTGTGCACAGATTTCTGGGCTGTGCATCGGATCATTAATGTTTTTCAATGTCATCATATTTCAAATTTTTTTGCTTGACTTTGGGAAAGAAAGAAAAGCAAGATTTTTGTAGACTTTACACCAGATGCGGCTCTTCTGTAATGTCAAAAATACCAAGTGATAGCTGCATAATCACCAATCACAATTTGCTCGTTGCAGTTGGGTGTAGTTGGCAAAATTTCTCAATTTCTCTACACTTTACTTAATTTTTTTATCTCTGTATTAAATTCTGTCTCTGTCTCTGCTCATAAATTACCGCTCTGTTTGAACTCTGGCCCCAGGTACAAATTTAAAAGGTTGCGTTTCGTTATGTCATGCCAATACTCTGTCACTGTGTTGACATCCATTGTTTTACATGGCAATCGGTTCCAATGGGATTTCAAAGTGCCTCAATCAACTGTTGCCATTTCTTTTTCCCTTTTTCAAATTTTTCCTATACAGTCCCTTTAAGCTAATAGGAGCTAATGTGTATGATATTTTATTCGGGCTCAAGGTACAAAACTAAAAGAATTAAAACTTGTAGAGTTTTTTTTTTGTACAGATTCTTCTTCTTCTTGGGTGAAAAGATTATACGATGCTTTGCTTTTAACTCCCATCACATTCTGTCTGTACGAGGGTTTTGGATTACGTTTAAATAAAAGTTAATTTGGCATTCTGACCATGATGACATTGTTGACCCGAGGCTCACAGAAAAGGCCACATCTTTCCACCTATGTTGGGGTGCGTGCCTACTGGCTCATTCAGAGTCATGTGGATCTTGGTTGGAGTGGACCACAAACTGTTGACAACCTAATAGCAACAAGGGTGCGAGTCATCACACAACCATTCAAATATCTCAAGTTGTGCACAATGTCACGGGAGTGCTGTCCCCATATCGGTTTTTAATTTAAAGACAAAATATATTTTTGATTCCATAGATTTTACCAGTATCATTGCAACTGTATTTTGTATGCTTTGTGTATAATATGCTTCATGTATAATATTATCAGATGTCCCTCTGTTAAGTTATTTCATGTTGTTAAAGAAATTATGTACTCTTAATAACTTGTTCACATTGAAATTTTTTTATACATAGATATCAGAACATAGCAAACGTTACTGCTAGTGTCTTTAGATCAGCGGTTCTCAACCTGTGGGTCTCGACCCCTTTGGGGAGGGGCCGAACTACCCTTTCTCACGGGTTGCCTAAGACTACCGGAAAACACATAAACTCTACAGTTATGAAGTATCAATGAAAATAAATTTTGTGGTTGTGGGCCGCCCCAACATGAGGAGCTGTATTAAAGGGTCGCGGCATTAAGAAGGTTGAGGACCACTGCTTTAGATAAAGATTGAAAGGATTTAAGTTTTGATACAGGTTTTATGTTTTTAAGAGATCAGAACTGACACAAATTTGTTTGATAACTTACCATTTTTTTTAAAATCATATTTTTAAAGACTCACGTTAACAATTTTGATACACACCCGACAAAGATATTTAGTTAATTTTTTAAAGACCTATTCTGCTGTTGTAGTATCACATGTCAAGTGGTCAGTAAAATATATATATTTTTTTTTTACATCATGGGCCAGTGAAATTTTAACTCTATGAAAAAGACAAACAAAAAAAAACAATGTGCCATTTGTCTCAGAGACATACATAATGTTCCACAGTATTATTTTAGAAGGACTAGTAATCAATCTGTTTGATGAAACAACCCAAAGTTATTGTTCCAAACCAAACATTTGTAGTTGTGTTTTAACAAATACATGTTATGTTTGCATGTCAATATATTGTATTTATGTTGTGCTAACAAGGACAGGTTATGTTTGCATGTCAATATATTGTATTTATGTTGTGCTAACAAGGACAGGTTATATTTGCATGTCAATATATTGTATTTCTGTTGTACTTACAAGGACAGGTTATGTTTGCATGTCAATATATTGTATTTATGTTGTGCTAACAAGGACAGGTTATATTTGCATGTCAATATATTGTATTTCTGTTGTGCTAACAAGGACAGGCTAGGTTTCCATGTCAATATATTGTATTTCTGTTGTGCTAACAAGGACAGGCTATGTTTCCATGTCAATATATTGTATTTCTGTTGTGCTAACAAGGACAGGTTATGTTTGCATGTCAATATATTGTATTTCTGTTGTGCTAACAAGGACAGGTTATGTTTGCATGTCAATATATTGTATTTATGTTGTGCTAACAAGGACAGGTTATATTTGCATGTCAATATATTGTATTTCTGTTGTACTTACAAGGACAGGTTATATTTGCATGTCAATATATTGTATTTCTGTTGTGCTAACAAGGACAGGCTAGGTTTCCATGTCAATATATTGTATTTCTGTTGTGCTAACAAGGACAGGCTATGTTTCCATGACAATATATTGTATTTCTGTTGTGTTAACAAGGACAGGTTATGTTTGCTTGTCATATATTGTATTTCTGTTGCGCTAACAAGGACAGGCTATGTTTCCATGTCAATATATTGTATTTCTGTTGTGCTAACAAGGACAGGCTATGTTTCCATGTCATATATTGTATTTCTGTTGTGCTAACAAGGACAGGCTATGTTTCCATGTCAATATATTGTATTTCTGTTGTGTTAACAAGGACATGTTAGGTTTGCTTGTCATATATTGTATTTCTGTTTTGCTAACAAGGACAGGTTATGTTTGCATGTCAATATATTGTATTTCTGTTGTGTTAACAAGGACAGGCTATGTTTCCATGTCAATATATTGTATTTCTGTTGTGCTAACAAGGACAGGTTATGTTTGCATGTCAATATTATATTTCTGTTGTGTTAACAAGGACAGGTTATGTTTGCATGTCAATATATTGTATTTCTGTTGTGCTAACAAGGACAGGTTGTGTTTGCATTTCAATATGTTGTATTTCTGTTGTGCTAACAAGGACAGGTTAAGTTTGCTTGTCATGTATTGTATTTCTGTTGTGTTGACAAGGACAGGTTATGTTTGCATGTCAATATATTGTATTTCTCTGAATTATTTATAGTAATTACAGTATCCCCCTCAAAGCTTTATAAACAGAGGCCTTTCAAATGGTCTTATTTATCACCTTGCAATGTATTCAATATAAAAATTAATCGATAAAATTTAGAAAATAATTGTGATTTTAAAAAAAATTCATTCAGCAAAGTATTATAGTCCATTATATTAAGCTGCATTGGCTTTTTTTAAAAATAGTTTTCTTTGTTTTTCCCTCAATCACCTGAATTGATTTAAAAAAATAACAGTGAGGATTGTTAAAAAGATATAATGAACTTCTCTATTTTACCAGAACGTCAACTATTAATTTCTTGCTAAATTCATCCACTTGAACTTCACCCAAGTATTATAGACAGAGGGGAAAATCTTCATCTTAGTACAGAGTCCAATACTGATATGATGGCACTGGGATTTTGTTGCAATGAAACACTAACTGATATCGTGGAGACATTGAAGCATCATTAAACCTTGGTATGGATGTGTTATTGTAAATTAATCGGGGCGGTATTTACAAGGGTTTTTGAAAAACAGATATTTCATTTTTTGCTTTAACCATTCAAGTCACGACCAGTAACACGATAATCCAGATTCACTACATTCCAGATGTTAATTAGGAGTGTTCAACATCTGTTTATTTATTTTTTAAAATATATTGTGTGGTTTCCATAGCTACTGTGATTTGTTATTTTAATTAAATTTTGTTTATTTTAGTGTCATTGTTTATATTTTCAGCTGTCTTTGATGATCAATTTTTTTGCTTGTTTTGTTATGCTACATGTCCCATTTGATATTTTATAAATATCTTGATGTTTGATGGTGTCATACTTCCTGCTTCAGCTCAATAATTTATTTACTTGTTTGCTTGCCATATGGTGCTGTGGTTACATTTTTTTTTTGTATCCAATCAGCGAAAATGTTTTTTTGTTCTTAAATTTCCAAACGTGTTTGAAATTGTAAATTTGTACTGTTTATTTTGTGATTTTGTTTATTAAAAGTCTAAACTTTTTGGTCCTTCGCTCTCAGCCCTCTCAGTGTAATGGCATTTTTGGGATTAACCCGCTGGTCACCCTCTTTGGAATCACTTTTACGAATGCCCATCCCTAAAAATATAATAGGGGGTGCCCCTTACACAATAAGAAAAAGGAAGACCTCAAGATGCAAGGAAAAGAATAATTTTTGTACACCATAGAGGATGAAAAAAAAAATCTATTCTATAATTTGTCAATGTTTATATTAAATTTGTATTTAAGATTAAATGTGTCAAGGTGCTGCCGCTGCCCCTTCTTTCAACACACACGAATCTATCCCTGGTTTTATTATTATAAAACTAATATTTTTTTTATGGTCCCTAATTTTATGATGACAAATCTTATTATTACACTTTCAATATAATCTTGACACTGAAGTCGGACATTCTATTCTAATGGCACTCTGTTATGTTTTAGTCTTACCTTAAACTCTCTCACTCTGACATTGAACACTCTATTCTAATGGCTCTTTGTGATCCTTTAGTCTTACCTTAAACTTTTTCACTCTGATATTGAACATTTTATTCCAACGGCACACTGTTATGTTTTAGTCTTACCTTAAACTCTCAGATATTGAACAGTCTGTTCTAATGACTCATTGTGATGCTTTATTTAGTATTACCTTAAACAACAAAACTTTCCTTTTACATATGAAATGTGTATGTTTCATTAAAATTTGTTTACAAATGTAAATACGTGATTCGTATATATAACTTGGGGATCTTTTTAACGAAATATATTTTTCATTGGGAATCAGATTTTTTAATATTTATTTTTACAGATCATGCCTCACTTTAGGTGTGTACAAATTTTACATTAATTTCCTATATTGATCCATTCCACCACCACTTTTGGTACATTTTTAATGTTGTTGACTCTATTGTGAATTTCAAAGGTATACCACTGTGTTGTGCATTTCAAATGTATACCACTGTGTTGTGCAGTTCAAATGTATACCACTGTGTTGTGCATTTCAAA